AACATATTTTGTCACGTTGACCACTTTTTGATATCTTTCACAGAAAATGAGACATATGGGCTCAATGTTGACTGTTTGAATGGCTCTCATTTAATTTGTATTTGACAATTTGTAAGATTTGTTTATCTTTCTGGAAGTCAGATTTTGTATTGAAACTGGCGTTTTTAGGAAGTAAAAAACGGAAAGAATTTCTCCATTTTATGAAAATGATCGACAACTCTATACCGTTCATAGAAAAGTCAAAGTTGTCAACCACATTCACTTTGTGTGAAAATTCAAATGCTACCTTTATCAGCGCAAAGAATGATTCTGATTTGAATGAGACTGTTTCAGCAACTGATTAAGTTGTTAACAACACACAGTTTTACCTAATGCGTGGTATGTGACACTACAATACACACAAAATATATGTGATGCGTTTTTGCATCTAATCATAATGTTTTGAGGTATAAATAGGCGCATTAGTTTTAAACAAACCACTCTTAAAAACATGAAGTTGACTGTATTATTGTTTTCATTTGTTCAACTCACCTTCTCTTATAACTTTCTGGTTTTCTGTCCATTATTCGGTCATAGTCATACAACATACTTTGCTAAAATCGCTGATACTCTAACTGATGCAGGACATAATGTGGTATGTGGAGAACTGCCAGTATTTCTGAAACTTTAATTTTCAGACGTTTTTCACTCCTACAATCATACAAAGGTTTGCGAAACACATTTACGTCAAATCAACTAAAAATGTAATTCATCTGGAGCCAAGTGAGAAACTTGCAATTCTGGGGGACAAATTCGAGGAGGGAGACACTTCTAAATTCTGGACATCCGATTCCACAGTTTTTGAAATGCTTCCAATGATCGATACCTTCAATAGAGCATTTGAGGAACAAACTGTTGTTCTTGGGAGGAATCTAGAACTCCTTGATGAGCTCAAAGCTAAGAACTTTGACGCCATGATTTTTGAGAGCTTCGTTGATCCAGCTTATCGTGAGTTTCAGTATCGACAATAGATTTTTAACGATCTTATCTTCTCAGCTCTTCTCGATTACCTCCAAATCAAAACAATCCTACCTGCCACATCCATCGCTTTTGATGAAATGTTATCACATTCAATAGGAGAACCAATTATGACAAGTGCAGTTCCAGCACCAATGTCTGCATTTACTGATCAGATGACGTTCATGGAAAGAATCATTAACACAATAACCTCTCCTATCATGTACCTCATTATGCCAAAACGAAAGTTCAAATCTCTCCGTTTCCCTCATTCAACTATTGAAATTTCATCTCAAGAATCAATGAGTTCATTCGTTTTCACAAATTCCAATCCATATCTGGATTATGCTCGTCCAACAATTGAGAAAAATGTTCAAATCGGAGGAATTTCAGTGGATGTTGACCAACTAAAAAGTCAGAAAGTTAATAAGGAATGGGATGAGATTCTCAATTTGAGAACCAAAACAATTTTGGTTTCTTTTGGATCCATCATGTTGTCCAAGGATATGCCATTGGAAAACAGGTCAGATTTCGGTTTGTGAAAAATTCGGAAATTGAAAATCTTCAGAATAGCTCTGGCTTCTACTATGAAACAGTTCCCAGAAGTTACATTCATCTGGAAATACGAGTCAAATGACACTGATAGTTTTGCAAAAGGAATCGAGAATATTCATTTCTCCAACTGGATTCCACAAACTGCTCTTCTAGCGGATTTTCGTCTTTCTGCGTTCTTCACTCATGCCGGTTTAGGAAGTATCAATGAAGTCAGCTACTTGGGAAAACCAACAATATTGGTAAGGTCTCCAAAAAAGTAAAAATAGTTGATTTTCATTTCAGTGCCCAATTTTCGCTGACCAAATGAGAAACGCTCAGATGTTGGCAAGACACAACGGGTCTGTCGAAATATCCAAGTATGAATTGGGGCAGTCCCAGAAACTCCAGGAAGTGTTCAAGAAGATTCTTTATGATCAATCGTACACCACGGCATCGGAAAACTTGGCTCTCCAGTTAGCTAATCAGCCAGTCAAACCGAGAGAGTTATTGGTACGACATGCTGAATTTGCAGCAAAGTAAATTTTACATTAATTCTCAATCTGGAATTTTTGAATTCAGATTTGGACGTCTCCCATCTTTGGATCCATATTCACGTCACATGTCGTTCGTCTCCTACTTTCTTATCGATGTAGCTGCAACTATTTTCCTAATCTCATTATTGGTGTTTTATGTGTTCTTTAGGATCGCAAAACGACTAATCAATTATCTACCCATCACTCTGACCCCGGTCAAACATAAAACTAATTGAGTCTCTCCTACACAAAAACCACACTTTTAACTAAACATCCATTCCAATTGTGTACGGGTTTTCGATCTTTTAAATTTTTAGATAAGAAAACTGAAATGTTTTGATTACTTTTCAAAAAATAAATATTTGATGAAGTCATTTTGTGACTTCTTCTATGTTGACTCGGTTTTTATCTGACTTATAAAAAACTGAATTTTAAACCAAAAGTATTTTTTCAACGATTCTGAAAAACTGTTACTAAACCAGGTAAAATGACAGATCTGAAAACTACTCTTTTTAAAACAGATCGAAGGGATTTTAAGAAAAAAAAGTAGATTTTTGTTCAAAAACTGTGACTCTATTCATAGTGAACGAACGGTCCGTTAACAAGCCGTCAGCGGCCCGTTCGGGCCTCTTCAGTTGGCATCTTATCCGCCAGTTCCGCTTGGCTTGTGTATTAGGGGAATATTTTTCAGGAAGCCTGCGCTCCATCGCACTGGTAAAATGGCATAGTTTTTGAGTCTGGAAAACCTAATCCCCTCTACTTTTGGTGGGGACGGGCGGTGAAATTTGAATTTTAAAAATTTTTTTGATCTATTTTCTTCAATAAAACTTCATTTTTCATAGTTTTTCTTCGGTTTTTTGCCAAAAATATTAGAAAACTATAAAAAAGAAAGTTTTATTGAAGAAAATAGATCAGAAAATTGTTTTAAGCTCAAATGCCGCCGCCCGCCCCCGCCGAAAGTCGTGGGGGACTAGGTTTCCAGGACTCAAAAAACTCTGCCATTTTACTAGTGCGGTGGAGCGCAGGCTTTCTGTAAAATATTCCACTAATAATCGTGCAGTTTTGAGAGAATTTTTTAATTCTCATAATGTTTTATTGGTATCAGAATTTACAGAAAAAAACAATTTTCGGTCATCTAATCATTTTTCAGTTTTCCAAGTGCACCCATTACTTTTCGAACAAAACAAAAAACTAATACTACTACAAAAACTGCAATAGCTGAAATAAATGCAGTAACATCTAACAAATAATATTCAATGAAGCTCATGTTTCGAATATTGCAATCCAGTCCATGATGCTCCCCAAATCTGAAACCAATTATATAATTTCAATCATTCGAAAATTCAACTTACTGTGCAGCAAACTCCGCATGCCTCACCAACAGCTCTTTTGGTTTCATTGGTTGATTTTCCAGCCTTTTTGCCAAACTCAATGCATTTTTTGCTATACTCTTATCGAATAAAACTCTGTGAATGGCGGATCGTAGAGTTTCATAATCAGCTAAATCGAATTTCGTTATTTCGATTGACCCACTGTGTCGTGCCAACATTTTTGCATTTCGAAGCTGATCAGCAAACAATGGACACTTAAAAAAATTACATATTTCAAAAAATGTTGTTCCAAATCTTACCAAGATAGCGGGTTTTCCCAAATAACTGAGCTCATTGACACTTCCAAGCCCGCCATGCGTGAGGAAAGCGGATAGTCTAGAGTCTGCTGAAATTAGAGCAACAAAAATTGTGAGCGATAATACTTTTGGATTATTAATACCTACCTAAAAGAGCTGTTTGTGGAATCCATTTGCTGAAAACAATATTCTCTGCCTCCTGGGCAAAACTGGTTTCATCTGACTCATACTTCCAGATAAATGTGACATTTTTGAAGGATTGCATAACTTTTACAAAGTTCGCTCTGAAAATTTTCCTTAAAGGTTTTTTTCATAAAAATATATTTCCTCACTTATAAGAGTGTGGCATATAAATTGCTTTGAACATAGACCCAAATGAAACTAGGACAGTGTGAGGCCTTTGATCAAGTATCTTATTCCAGTTCTGTAAATTTTTTTTATTTCAAAATGTTGTCCCATGAAGTTTTTACCTCATCCACTTTTTCAGCTCTGAGTTTATTCACATTCACTGTCAAACCTCCAACCTGAATGGTTTTCGAAAGAAGTGGACGAGGAAAGTCAATATAAGGATTAGAGTTGATAAAAATGTATGGAGCACGATGATAGGCTGTCTGAAATTGAAAAAAAAAACTATAACAAATGAAACAGTTTTCAAACTGTTCACCTCAATTTCCAATGGCTTGGTTGGGTCCTGCAGTGTCGTCCATTTGGGATATTGAAGGATGATTTTTCCAAGGAAATACGAGATGGTGTTTGTTAACCGTTCTTGGAATGACATGATGTTCCCGAAGTTTGTGAAGTATCCTGAAAAACTAATTATTTCAAAATCTCTCGAATTTCGATTACCTGACAAATAGCTGGGATTAACTGGTTCTCCGGAAAGCTCTGCGAATTTATTGTCATGTGTCACAGAAGTCACTGGGATGAAGACTGGAATTTCTAGATATTCTTGAACGGCTTTTGCCATAAATATGAACGATTCAAAAATAATAACATCATATTTGGGTCGCTGAGTTTTGAGTTCATCCAGGATATGAAGATTCTGGCGTAGATTGGCATAAACCATTTCGAACATTTTCATAAATCCTTGGTAACTTGGAATAGTCTCCAGCATGCTTCCTTCCTTGGTCCAAAATCTGGAAAAGTCTCCGGATTCCATTAAGTCGGTTAAACGGTCAAGCTCTTCGTTTGACTGAAATATATAAGGTTTAGGTTAATCTATTTGAGGAAAATTCTTACATCGACATAAACTATATCCTTCGTTGATTTGGTGAAAGATTTGTCCCTGAATTTTGAATTAATAAGAATAGTGAGAACAGTCTGGAATAATTTTGAATTTAAATAATGAAATCTGGAACTTCTTCGTACCACATTATGTCCAGAATCAGACAACGCATCAGCCACTTTTCCCATAAAAGTGGAATGGCTATGTCCAAATCCGGGAGACACCACTAGATAATTGAACGCAGACACAGAAGATATCAAAAAGAGAATATGGAATAAACTAAGCATTTTGAAGTTTATTTGATGAATCAATGGGGGTTTCCTAGACACTTTATATAGGTCTGTCTGATAATATGTCTTTCTCTATCTTTTTTTGATCAACACAAGACGAATACAATTGAAAATTTGTAGTTTGTGACATGACGATTATACCGAAAGGCAGTTATAATGAAGTGAGTCAGACAGAAGTCACATATTCGAATCTGGGTATCACATAACTTTTATTGGCTCAATAAACTGTCTCATTTTTTGTTTCCAAGACGAAACAAACAATTTCCGGTCGATGGAAACGGGTATTGAACTATTCACGTGAAGAACATTTTGTGATTTTTACAGTTCAAAGAACCAGTAATCAAAAAAATCATCTTTTGGTGTATATCAATTGTTATTGAGTTTTGCTAGTTCAACAGACAAAAACTGGTTCATTTTTGTTGACATTTAAAAGGGCATTCTTTTTGGGAAAGTTCTAGTGGGAAAGTGCAAGACTGTCTTTTAATTAATAGAAGTTTATTTGATTGATCACAAATTGAAAGAATTTCAATAATAAGTGTAATTAAAGGTGGAATGTTTTAAAAGGTTGATAAGGGAATTTTTCAGCTAAGATTGCAATTCGGATAGGTATATTTGAAACATGCATACATGGATATTTTTCAGAGAATCAAATTTCGAATAAAACTAAAATTTATTACCATCATTGACAGATCAGGGATTGGCCGGGCCGCGTCGGTGGATCATGGTTTTCCACATGCAAACATTTTTTGACATTTCAGATATGTTCCAAATTATTTAATGACATTCCGTTTTTGTCGAGCGTTTTATTCGGCTGAAAATTTGTTTATTTTTATTGATTGAACTCAAAACTGTTTTCAAAAAACAGAAAAAAAATTACGGAAATCCCAGGCCGGGTTTTTTTTTCCTATAATCCAGGTCCCGGTCAATTTGCCTTACCTTTCATAGGGAAAACAAATTTTTCAAGTGGTTTGGAAAAAAATAGCTTCAATTTTTTCGATTTCATGAGATTTGAATTGAAAAACATTGCTTGGCTCGGACTCTGGACCCAGATCTTTCTTTTTTCAGAAAAACATCAAGACAATTCTGAATTTCTGATTCTTTTTTCGTTCTATTCCGAGATTCACAAAATGTCTCAGTTTTCCTTGGACAACTTCTAATCTTCAATGCATGGTAACGATGTTTTTCATGTGGTATCCACTTCCAAGAACGGTCCTCATACGTATTTTGCAAAGCCTTCATGGTCATTTTTTTTACTTTCAACATAAATTCTAGTCCCTTGTCTTTTTTAAACCTACATTTCATACGTCGCAAAGCATTTCTGAAATTCAATATCTTCTATGATCACTGGCTCAACACGTTTTGGCAAAAAAAGGTTTTGAACAACTTCACAGCTATCAAGTTTCTCGTCGTGTCTAATCAACGAAATGTGTAAAGTTTGCACTTCAAAAGAGTCATTTCACCAGTTTGATGGATGTAATCTCCCCCCAATGTTTCGCTTTTCATTGTTATCTTAAGAGACAAGAGATTTTCTTCTGGCCGTCACCAGCAAATCGACAGAAAAACCAATGTTGTTTTTGAGATTCTGTGTTTTACTCATTTCATTTGAATGAAATCTGGAATTGCGTGTTCAGTCTGAAAATTCGTGTGTTTTTTTCGTAACACCTACTACTTTATTTTTTCATCTTCTTCATCTCATATTTAATTGCTATTTTTGCTCTCTGTCACTTCGATTCCTGTCACGGTTTCCTGTGCTACTAACCCTCTCTCTCTCTCTCATTCCACTTTGGATTTTTCAAACCTGCACAGCTCCGTAAAGCTGTTTTTTCTTCCATTCCTACCAACCACTTATCCGTGAATTCTCCCGAAAAGTTTCTGAATAATTCACCGGGTGACATGAGGGACTGGCGCTGACTCTTTCTCTGTTGAATTAGCATTCGTTTTATGGACGGAACCAACGATTATCGTGTGCTTTAGTTTTAGTGGTCTCGCCGCGGCTACTCTTCTAGGTCCACTCTAAATTTATTAGATTTTTTGGGGTGGAAAGAGGAAGCAGCACCTCATTAAAGCAATGGATACTGCCACTTGACGCCTGATAATTGGAAAAAAAGCAATGGATACTGCCACTTGACGCCTGATAATAACGACGACTCATTGAGCAAACGGCGGTTGTGGAGTCCTACTCTCTCAATACACCTACGGGGGCCTTCGGAATTGAATTGAGACAGCCGCTTAGGCTGGTTTTCACTTCCTTCCCAACTTCATTTCTCTGTCTCAGAAGAAGATGATGATGATTCTTCTACTTTTCGTTTCCCTACTTCTTTTTCTCCCCGGTTTTACTGACTCGTTTTGCAGATAATAGAATAACAGACAAAACCAAATTGAGGAGGGCGAATGAGGAGTAGAGGGTGGTAGTTGGGGACAAGACGGAACAATATGTTGAAGGTCTCTTCCCGAAAAAACAGCACTTATCATCACTTGGCAGGGAACCTGGATTCTGGGAAAGAAAGTCCAGGAAGTTTGAACTTTATTGAATTTTACGTCTATCTGAGTACTTTTAGAAGTGGAGTACTTTTGAATATGAATCGTTCAATCGTATCTTGTTTCATCTTTCTCTAGTTTCATATTACGATTCTCTAATGAGAGTTCAATTCAGATCAAGTCTAATTCAAGCTATATTAGGCCGCAGAGATAACCGCTTTTGACTTAAAGGGGAATGACTTTTGACTTAAAAGGGAATCCGACAGAAAACTTTTTGTAATTTTTGCATTCAAATGTTCCCAAACTTATGTATTTTCATAAAATTACGATGCCATTATTTATTTAAAAATTTGGAATCTCTGAAAGCGCTGTCGAAAATGCAAGCAGGCTCAGTTCTCGTTCGAGTTGATTTCCTCCCGTTTTGACCAGTTTCAGCTTGGCCATCAAGTTTCCGATCACTTTGAAAATTTTGAAGGGTGTAAAACAGACCAAGATTGGAAGCTTTGCATTTGCAGAATTTTTTGAAAAATCCAATTTTTTGAAAAATCCTAGGTTTGTTTTACACCCTCCAAAATTTTGAAAGTGGTCACACTTGAATTCAGAGCACCAGCTTTCTGAAAATGATAAAAATGGCAGAAAATCAACTAAAAAATAACGTTTTTTATATCTTATTTACCGGTACTATTTATCAAGTTTTCTGAACATACGCTAAAACGAACTGAAAAGGGGTAACAAATCTTTCAAATTGCATGAGAAAGCATCGCTCACAGTCCGGAATTTTGATTTTTCTGAATTTTTTCTAAGTATTACTATGAAAATACATAACTTTGGAAAAATTTTAATGCAAAAAAATCACAAAAAAAAACTTGTATTTCCTTGTTTTCGAGTTTTTCCCCCGACCACCTAAACCAAGAGACTACCTATTTTTGTATCCCGTTTCGTTTAACTTTTCCGCAAAACAGGAATTTGCTTCTCACTTTTGCTTAGACTCGGATTCTCAATTTTTTAATTTCAGGTTCCTAAAATAAGTAAATCTGAAAGTGCACTCAGAGTTTTCATATTCTCCGTGAGAAAAAAAAAGAACTTCACCTCTTCTCCTTATTCTTTCCCCGCCAAACTCCAAAGCTTCCGCTACTTTTACTATACCCCGAGCACCACAAAGATAATGACGTTTTTCCGGAGAGACGGTTCCTGTTCTTCCACCTCTCCATATCCTCATTTATACATTTCTTATGTCCGGGTCCAAAATGTTTATTCACACATTTTGGATTCCTGTTTTTTTTCAGTTTATATTCTTGATTTCCACCACTTCCAGATGGTGGAAAGGAGCCTGGAAAGAGACATAAACAATTCAAAAAAATTTTAGAGCACTTCATTCTGCTTTCTGTTCTGTATTTGACATCTGAAGCACTGCCTGCTTCTTCTTCTTTTTGTGTTCTAGCTCTTTTTTTCTATTCATGTCGCCCGCCACGTCATTAAAAATTAGTACCCCGAGATTCTTCTCACCTCATGCATACAACACAAAAGAAATATGAGTTCTTTTTTTTCAAAAAGAATGGTTGGAAAGAATCTGTCATGTGGAAAGAGGAGATGTTCTTAGAGTTCGTGAAATGAGCCCATTGTCTCTGACTAATGACTTTTATTCTGATTCATGCATTTCTCTCAAGTATCCTATTTCTAATCTTCCGACACTAATAGGACCTTCCGTCTGTCGGTAATTTATCGTCGGCAACTTTCTTTTTCTCTGATAACATTCCCATGAGTGTTCCTCTTCTTGTTTTTACAATAGAGAGAGAGAGAGAGAGAGAAAGAGCATAACGTTATTCTGGAGCGAAAGGGAGCACACGCCGTTTCCTTCCGGTGCCTAACCCGATTATCGTTATGAAGAAGATGATGTCGTCTTTCGAATACGTTGACAAACAAGCGCCAGGATCCTATTCTGAAAAGGATCCGGCGAGGATTCTGATTTTGATTCGAATGTTTGCTTGGGGCGATTCTCTCCCCCTATTTTTTGGTGCTCTTCTCGATTCATTACACACCCATCCATTTTCCAATTTCTACTACATCTTCGTCGTCTCCTCTGCTTACTCTTCTTCTTATTCGCTTGGCTCCTGGAAGAAGAAAAAAAAAGGAAGGAGACGAAGAGGACATCGTTTAGTATCTTTTAGGCATCTACTCTCGTAGTGGTGCCGCCCCCACTCTCTATATATCCCTGGTATTTTGTAAGGAGACAGATGTGATTTGTTTATTTTTTTCAGATTTTCCCCTTCCTTCGAGTTGAAGCACATCCCTGATGTGAATCATCGATGCGCCACGTCCCTTTTGCGACCCTATTTATCGTCATTATCAATGTGCAAATCACTTTCACACAATTGAACATCAGGGTAGGTCTGACCCAATGGGTTGATATCACATTAAGATCTAAGGATTAATGATTTTTTTGGATTTCAAAATTCTGGCATACGGTAGAACCGCAAACAAGAAGATTCTTAGTTCGAATCCTTAATATTTGTTTATTCAGAAAATCCAAACCAACGACAACACTCGCCGACAACAACAACGAAACCAGAGGAAATCGGAAAGCTTCGATCACTACTCCCATCTGACAGACACTGGAGAAGTCAATGATCAACTTAAATACTACACTCACAGTTTCGAGCAAAAAGTTCGAGAAGCGGTTCGAGACGAGGAGTACATGCTCAAAAATTTGTGGTACGATCCGGATTACGTGATTCATGATCTATGTGAACCACACAAGTCGGGTGGACAGACGGGTGAATTGATTTGGTAAGGAGAAGAATCCTTTAAATCTTCCAAAACAATATCTTTCAGGTCCGAATCAGGTGACCGTCTGCTAAAAGTTATTGGAAACGGAGTTGTTGAAGACGGGTATAATATGTTTATGGCACCGGGACAGTCGCAGGGAAAACGGACAGATGTACACGTAGCAGTTTATATTGAGTCTATGTCATCATTTAAAGCACAGTCTATGGATTTTGAAGTTGATATGTATTTGGCAATGGGATGGTTTGATAGGCGTTTGGCTCACAATTGTACACATCCAATCTTGGTGACCAGTAAAGTGAGTTGAATTCAATTATGTCACAAGCAATCGGGGGATGTTTAGAACCACGTGCTACGTTACGAGTTTGTGAAACCAATTGAACATTGCCGTAAACGCTAATAGACCAACAGCCCCAACTTTCAACTTTGAGCTCTTATATCTCGGTTCCTGTGATAGTTATCAAAAACTTGTTTACTAATAAAATGTTTATCATAATATCAAAAATATTTTTGTCAGTTGACTATTTTTTGATATCATTCACAAGAATTGAGATACAGTACCGGTCAATAAGATATACAAAAACGTGTTTTCCAGTTGGTTTCGGTCATTTACAAGAGTCTGGAGCTTGACTATCAAGTTTCGTATCACTTTGGAAATTTTAGTGGTTAAAAAACAAACTTAGGTTAAGAACTTTGAATTCGCAGAAATTTTTGAAAAGTTCTAATTTGATCTATTTGCCGAGTTCTGAAGGACACCTGCCTTTTTCACATTTTCAGTACAAAAACACGAAAAATATGGTGTTCTTCAAAAATCGCCAAATAGCTGAAAAACTAGGAATTTTTACAAAATTTTCAATCTATTTATGTTTTACACCCTCTGAAATTTTCAAAGTGATTAAAAATTCGACAGACGAGCTCCAGAATGGGTAAAACGCCGAAAATTAACTAAAAATGCTGTATCTCGGTTCCTGTGAAAGATATCAAATTTTGTTCACTAATAAAATGTTTATTATAGTATCAGACATATTTTGTCAGTTGGCACATTTTTGATATCTTGCAGAGGAATTGAGATAATTGAGTTCAAACATGACAGTGCGGGAGGCCCTTATATTACAGGTTTTAGGGTAGTTAGAGTCAACCTGAAAGTATGTGATAAATAGCAGATTATGTTTCCAGCTCATAGCCGAAAGAATGTGGTATCCTGACTTATATTTTGTCAACTCGAAATACGCATATCTTCAAGAAGTGACCACTCCCAACCTAATGGTCATTGTCTATCCAGACGGACTCATCTTCAAAACAATGCGCCTAGATGTAACACTTTCGTGTATGATGGACTTGAAGCTATTCCCACTGGACTATCAGGAATGCCCATTGACCATTCAGAGTTGTGAGTTCTTTCCTTTTTTTTGTGATGCATAGTGTTAACAACATTTTACAGTTGCTTATATCGAACAAATTGTGAATTTGACATGGCGAGATGATCCTCCGAATTTTCCCATTGGATTCAACCCCGACATCAAATTGAATGATATGCAAATTACCAACAAACGATTTATTAAATGTGCGGGACCGTATCCAATGTTTAGAGGAGAGGGCTTTTGGAGCTGTATCCAAGGATATATAGTTATGAAACGTCTAGTCCTATTCCACATCATTCAAACCTACATTCCAACAGGTAATCTTTGAATTCTTTCTTTTTTATGTCTTCCCTTCCCTTTCACATAAATAGAGAATACAATAAAAATTGAAGGGATGCTCGTGTCAATTTCATGGATGTCATTCTGGCTGGACCCTCGTGCCAGTCCCGCCCGTATCTCCCTTACAATCACCTCATTACTCACTTTGACAACGATGAGCAATGGAGCAAGACAAGACCTTCCGCAGGTTTCCTACATCAAAGCACTGGATATTTGGTTGACATTCTCGCAAGCTCTCATATTTTTGGTGCTTTTGGAGTACTCATTTGTCTCGTATTACATGACGAAACGAACTACAAACTGTTCACATAGGAACCTGTTTTATGAGGAAAGGGTACAAGAATGTAAAAGGGAGGAGAAGGCTCGGAAGTCACTTGTGAACAATAATAAGACTGCAAACTCCAATAACACCGAAGGATCTGATTTAAACCGAAATAAGAAATCGCAGCAGTTTTCATTGACTCATGGAATTTCATCTTGTCTCAGCGAGTCATCGGTACGAGTTTTCAGAAAACTCGTTTATTCATTTCAATCGATTTTCAGGCACTGATGGCTCCGGTTCCTGCTCGCTTGTTTCCAAAGTTTGACGCCAAGAAGCCATGCGGTGCGTGTTCGGAGAAGAACGAACGGATAGCAGTCAAAATTGATGAATGTTAGTTGTTGATGGATATGACACGGATAAAAAACAATATTTTCAGATAGCCGCTGGCTGTTTCCCACTGTCTTCACGATATTTTGTGTTTGCTACTGGCTCTACTTCACTTGGCGATCATCTGCTTCGGAAGGCTGACACTTGGATAATTGTGTTATGTGTATCAAAAAGCAATAATTCCTTTGGTTTTCATATGTCTTTATGATAGAAGAACTGTTGAAAATAAATATGAACATATTATTTTAAAAACCGGAGGTTGAAAAAAATGCTCGGGCTACTGTAGTTTTCTCCGTCCACAATTATCGCTCTATAACTGTTATAAATTGGAGCTACGATAATAATTACCTTTGCAATAGTTTCGTTTATTTCTTTAGGAATATCGAGAATTTCGATGTTAAGTTTCGTTTTTATTTTTTTTCGGATTTTACAAGCCTATTTACAAGCCTAAATACAATCGTTTTTGTCTTCTCTAGTGTGCTGTGTCGATTGTTGACAATCGACAAAAATCGACGAAAATCGTTAAAATCGGTGTCGATTTCGTCGACTCGATCAAAAATCGACATTCAAAAAGTCGACAGAAAATCGACTTTTCAAAAGTCGATGAAAGCGAAAATCGACAACAGTCGATTTTTGTCGATTTTGAATCGACTCAAAATCGACAAGAATCGACGAAAAATCGACGAAAAAATCGACTTTTGTCGACTTTATTGTCCGAGAGGACTACACCGCCGGTGACCTAGAAACTGCCTGTGGCCGGGGTATTTTTCATGAAAAACAGGCATTTTTCATCGAATTTTCTACTGAAAAACCGTATTTTCCTTGTTTTTTTTGGGTGTTTTGTTTTTTTTCTGTTTCATTTATGACATTCTTGCTTATTGCAGATGAATTCGTCACAAAATCAATCTAAAGCGTGGCGATACTTCGAAAAACAAAATAACGGACAAACTGTGACCTGTAAACTGTGCGGAAGGAGCATAAAGTGTTCCATTCTTCGACCACAACGATGCATCAGCACTTAAACAGTCACCACGAGAAAGAAGTTGTAGAAATGGAAAGATCGGTAAGCAGAAAATTATATATTTTTCGTTAAATTCTTAATCTTAGATAGTACATAAAGATCAAGAGCCATGGCATCAAATAATTGGAAAAAATCACTTTGGAGTAAGATATTAAAGCTTATTTTTCCTCAAAATCTGATTTTTCTTTAGATCTACGAAGAAGAATACGTCGACAACAGAAGAGTACGAATATGATGACGAGAATGATGACTCAGAAGGCGTAGAATATTACGATTCCAGAGAGCATAACTATGATACTTTTGAAAACGATTTGGCCCAAATAATGAAACATTAATTCCTTATGCTGAACTTTGTTCTGCTGTTTCTTCTCTTTTTCAAAATTTGTCGCTTTGAATTTTCTTCTAATTTCCTTGCCATCTTCTGAATACTGATTTTCTATTTTGTACCCCGTTGAAATTAAGTTTTACACTATTTGTTTTTTATTCATAAAAATAAAGTTGTTACTCTACACAAAAATGATTTCTTCAAAAAATTAGAAAAAAATTTTCTCGAAGTGAAATTTTACTTTGTAGTCCGGAAAAGTCGATTTTTCGTCGACTTTTGTCGATTTTTCTGTCGATTTTAAGTCGACGCAAAATCGACAAAAGTCGATTCTTGTCGATTTCTGTCGATTTCCGTCGACGCAAAATCGACAAGAATCGATTTTCGTCGACTGAAAGTCGACAAAAATCGACAACGAAAAGTTCGATTTTTATCGACAATAGTCTTGTCGAATTGTTGAATGTCGACTGTGTCGATTTTCAAAGTCGACAAAAATCATCGATTTTCGAGTCGACTCGGCACTCTAAGTCTTCTCCTCTTTTTTCTCCGAAAAATATTTATCGTCGAGTCGCGTGCCTTGCAGATAAAGTGTTTGCACCGTCAGTGGAAAATTGAAAATTTGCGAATTTATTTTTTGTGTTGCAACTTGCTTTTCTTTCATATTTCAAATTAACTTATTATCCCATCTCATTTATATTTATTTTTCAGACGAAGGATTTAAGCCTAAAAATCACTTCTCATGACTTCAATCATAAAACTAAAAGTGTTTTCTGGGGCAAAAGATGAGGGACCGCTCTGTTATCTGCTGCAGGTGGACAATGATTACATTCTATTGGATTGTGGATGGGACGAGCGATTTGAATTGAAATACTTTGAAGAACTGAGGCCTTACATTCCAAAAGTGAGTTCTAAATAACATTCCCATCATGAATATAATCATTTTTCAGATAAGCGCAGTACTAATATCTCATCCGGATCCTCTTCACCTCGGTGGTTTACCATATTTAGTAGCAAAATGCGGGTTAACAGCTCCGGTATATTGTACAGTGAGTTGATATTTGATAATCCGCATTTCAAAATCATTTGATAATCCGCATTTTAAAATCTCAAATGTTTCATTCCAGGTACCAGTCTACAAAATGGGTCAAATGTTCATCTACGATTTAGTCTACAGTCACTTGGATGTTGAAGAATTTCAACATTATTCGCTGGACGACGTTGATATGGCATTCGAAAAAGTCGAACAAGTAAAATATAATCAGACTGTTGTTCTGAAAGGAGACTCTGGTGTGAACTTCACAGCAATGCCAGCAGGACACATGATTGGAGGATCGATGTGGAGAATTTGTCGAATTACTGGAGAAGATATTATTTACTGTGTGGATTTCAATCACAGAAAAGATCGTCATCTCAGTGGATGCTCCTTTGATAACTTCAATCGACCGCATTTGCTGATCACTGGTGCTCACCACATCTCCCTCCCACAGATGAAACGGAAGGATCGAGATGAGCAATTGGTTACAAAGATTCTAAGGACGGTTCGACAGAAAGGAGACTGCATGATTGTTATCGATACTGCTGGAAGAGTTCTTGAACTTGCATATCTTTTGGATCAGCTATGGGCAAAGTAAGATATCTCAGTTTTTCTATTATTAGTAAATATTCAAACAAAAATATTTCAGCCAGGATGCGGGTCTTTCAACATATAACCTTGTTATGATGTCTCATGTTGCCTCCTCTGTTGTTCAATTTGCAAAATCTCAATTAGAATGGATGGATGAGAAACTCTTCAGATACGATTCCAGTTCAGCGAGATACAATCCATTTACTCTGAAAAACGTAAACCTTGTTCATTCACATCTCGAATTGATAAAAATCAGATCGCCTAAAGTCGTTTTATGCAGTAGTCAAGACATGGAGACTGGATTTTCCAGAGAGCTCTTTCTTGATTGGTGTGCTGATCAGAGAAACGGTGTGATTCTGACAGCGAGACCAGCGTCGTTCACATTAGCCGCTCGGCTCGTTGAGCTTGCCGAACGGGCGAACGATGGCGTACTTCGAAACGAAGATAAACATCTTAGTCTGTTGGTAAGGAAGAGGGTACCATTGGAAGGAGAAGAACTGTTAGAGTACAAGCGGAGGAAAGCAGAACGAGATGCCGAAGAAACGAGGATTAGAATGGAGAGAGCCAGAAGACAGGCTCAAGCAAACGAGAGTGATGACAGTGACGATGATGATATCGCTGCTCCAATTGTTCCAAGACTCTCTGAGAAAGACCACCGATCGTTTGATGCTATTGAGAATGACTCACATTGTTTCGATATTATGGCTAAATGGGATAACCAGCAAAAGTGAGTTCTTTCTCTTTAAAAAGTTATTTTCGTTCAAAAAATCGAAGCTGGGCTAGAGAAACGCCGGTGGTTATGGCCGAAAGTCCCCCAACGACAATTACCGTAACATAAAAATGTTTACATTTTGTGGATTTTTGTGTGTTTTCAGCCATTTTTGGCTATCAGACTGGGGAAAAATAACAAAAAAAAAGACGAGAATCAAGAAAATCAATCCTGAAAAAAATTTTAGGTTACGGTAGCTGTCATTTTGGGATCTTCGGCGACGGTCACAGCTCCGATGTTTTGTATCAGAATAGTAATAAAAAGTTTACCTACTTGATTTTCAGAGCATCATTCTTCAAATCAACGAAGAAATCGTTTCCCATGTATCCCTATATTGAGGAGAAAGTGAAATGGGATGATTATGGAGAAGTTATCAAACCTGAAGACTACACTGTGATTTCTAAGATTGATATGAGGAAAGGCAAGAATAAGGATGAGCCAGTGGTTGTTCATAAGCGAGAAGATGAGGAAGAAGTGTACAATCCAAACGACCACGATGAAGAGATGCCGACAAAGTGTGTAGAATTCAGAAACCGTATTGAAATTAGTTGTCGTGTAGAATTCATAGAATACGAAGGAATATCTGATGGAGAATCGACTAAGAAAATGCTCGCTGGTCTGATGCCTCGCCAAATCATTATTGTTCATGGATCGAGAGACGATACACGTGATCTCTACGCCTACTTTACTGACAACGGATTCAAGAAAGATCAACTCAATACACCAGTGGCGAATGAACTAATCGACGCATCTGTAGAATCATTCATCTATCAAGTATCGTTGAGTGATGCTCTGTTGGCAGAAATCCAATTCAAAGAAGTGTCAGAGGGTAATAGTTTGGCATGGATTGATGCGAGAATTCAGGAGAAGGAAAGCATTGATAACATGCTGGTCGCCGGAGCTTCCCAGTTGACGATAGAAGACAGTTTACAAGAAGATGCCGTGGAAGTTGTGGAAGAAGATGTCATCCCAATGGAAACGGTAAGCTTTTGTAGCTTGAAGAATTTCCCTTAAATGGTGTTTGGAGTTTCAGGATGATCAAAACAAACAAGAGGCTTCTGAAGAAAATGTTGCTGAAGGAGAAAAATCAAACGGTCAAAGTAAAGAGAATGACGAAAACGCGAGTTCAATTCCAATCGAGACACAACCCAAGATTCGTGGAACTCTCATTCTTACCCCTCTTCCCAAGAAACAGATTCCTGTACATCAAGTAATTTTTTCAGGGTTTTTGCTTCCAGACAACTTCAATTCTAAAAATAGAAAACTTTCAAAAATTCGTATAATCCCTCTTGTCACCCATTACGTAAACAGCCTCTCTCTCTTCACCTAAATTTTCCCATATCAGTCACAAATTTACTGATGCTTTTCAATAATCGTGGGCGCATAGATTGTTCTTTGCTTTTGTTCTTGTTTTGCGTCACAGAAAGTGCACTTGCGTATGTTCGAGAATATTTGGCGGGGAAGTCGAATATTCAAAAGTCATATAGTTTTTTGATTTCAGGCGATTTTCGTCAACGATCCAAAACTTTCGGAATTCAAAAACTTGTTGGTCGACAAAGGATACAAGGCAGAGTTTTTCAGTGGAACTCTTCTTATCAATGGAGGTGAGAAGACACAACAAATTGGCACGGTGCCAATTGTATTTTTTGCAGGAAAGTGTTCGATTCTCGTGGAGAGACTGGATTCCAAATGGAGGGTGCTTTCACAAAAGACTTTTACAAACTTCGGAAGTTGTTCTACGACCAGTTTGCTGTTTTGTAAATGATGATCTCATATAATTTTAACAGATTTCTTTACACTTTTCGAGTAAAATTTTATTTTTCAAGGAAGTTATTGCTTGTGTTGCTTTCTATTTCAGACGCCACTCTATACATTCGTCGGAAAAAGCCGTCAATGTCCCGGAAATATATGAACATTTTGCCGAGAGAAAGGACTCGTAAAAAGGAGGAATTTGTGCTTTGAGCCATTGCAATATAATTTCTTTTTTGTTTTCAAATTTAAAGCAAGAAGCATGTGATTAGAAGTTATTCTATTTAGATTAATTCAAATACAACACCTACACTTATTACATTTCACAAACAGACACTGTACTATTTTTCATTGTTTTGGGGGGGGGGGGGGGGGGGGAAGAGATGACGTGTGCATTCAAAAATACCAATACAGATTATGCAGACAAAGTTATGCAATATCAAAACACAAGATTAGTAAGAAAAATGCAACAAAATGAGCCTGGAAGTTTCAAATTTTACTGGTTTTTTTAGTTACTCTTATAGTGTTTCCGGAAAAACCGAATTTTTATAGCAGACAATCTAAAAATAGCTCTCTCTGAAAGTTTCTCCGATATTTTGCTTTGCGTTTTGATTTCTCTTCTTATCTAAAATAAAAAGTCACGAAATATGTGACCGGAAATGAGAAAAATTAATAAAAATGATCCTGAAGAATCTGGAAAATCGATGAAACAAAATCATTAATACATAAAAATTGTTTTCTTTTTCGTTCAAGAGGGGTATAATAAAAACTGGAGTGCTGAAAATTGTTTTTAAAAACCTTTATTCTTAAGTTTTAAATTCAGACGAAGAAAGATAAAAAATCAGAAATGTGAAATAGAAACCGCGGAGGTCCCACAACGGCAACTACCGTAACCCAAAAATATTTTTCCGGATTTATTTTCTCTATTTTCGTGCGTTTTCAGTAAATTTGTTCAATGCCAAAAAATTTTCCCGACTTTTCTCGGGAAAAGTAACAGAAACCCCGACGAAAAGCACGAAAATCAAGAAAATAAATCCTGAAAATACAATTGTTAGGTTACTGTAGTTGTAGTCGTGGGACCTTCCGCCAGGGCTACTTCCACAGCTCCGATGTTCTGTACCAGAATAATACTAGTTACTAAAAATAATTTCCTTTCGATCTTTGAATCTCCAACACGTTTACTGTATCACTGATAATGTTTCCGGCATAATATTGACTAATAATACCTTTTATTTATCAAGCCCCTATTGTTTTGTTCAGTGTCACAAGGACTACAATAGACTGAAACTACAAAAAATATTAAAGTTTTGTATTTCATACAATAGATCCTTTTCATCCTAAATACTCACATTTTGAGCTAAACTACCTCAATTTTTATAAGAGGTAACAAAAATCTGTCAATTGATAAAATTTTTTCATAATATTACCAACATTTTATTAGTTGATACATTCTTGATATCTCTCATAGGAATTGAGATAAATTGAGCTCAAAGTACAAGTATGGGACGGTCTTCTATTAGAGTGTGTACGGTATAATACAATAGATCCCGTCTACAGTAATTTTTTATTTCCTACAGTACTTTTTGAAAAGTCAAGGAAGTTTTCGAATCTTCATTTTTCTAGAACTACAGTAACCCTTTTCAAATGTGGACTTTGTGGTAAACGTCACAGAGTACAAGTTTCAAAAACTTCCCGAATTTTAACACCACGTGTTCATCGAGAGAACCAGCCATCAACTTTCTAAAAATTCTATTGTTCACCCTTGCGTACTTTCTCGGTACTTGGCTCCTCACCGTTTCTTTTCAAAATGTTTTTTTCCGCTTTGTCTCGATTCGATAAGAACTGTATCAACTACTTCTTTCTCCACTCTTCCCACCTTTTTTCGGATTCTCCACCTACTTTTCTTTCGTCGGCCGAGGAGGCAAAGATAAAACTAGAAAAGGTCTATAAAACGAGAGAACGGTGGTCATTTGTCTCCACAGTCACGACGGAGAAACATGATGGATATTGTGCTCGACGTCGTCACGTCTACATTAGCTTCGGCAGTTAATTTACAAGACTTTCGAGTGAGTTACAGTAATCTTTTATTTTTCAAAGCGTTTTGTTCCAGCATGTCTTCCTTTGGGCGCTAATAGTTGGAATATGTCTCGCTTTTCTACTTGGATTTGGTATGGGAGCCAATGACGTGTCAAATGCATTTGGTACTTCTGTTGGCTCTGGAGCTCTCACCCTGGTTCAAGCCTATTTTCTTGCCACGATATTTGAAACTCTTGGAGCAGTGCTAGTTGGTTATAATGTGATAGATACAATGAGAAAAGGAGTTGTGGATGTAGCTGTATATAACAATTCTGCTGGAGATTTCATGGTTGGACAAGTTGCTGCATTAGGAGGAACAGCCACGTGGCTTCTCATCGCCACATTCCTCCATCTTCCGGTTTCTACAACTCATGCTGTCGTTGGAGCAACTCTTGGATACTCGATTGCCTGTAAAGGATTTCAAGGAATTCAGTGGATGATGGTTGTGAATATCATTGCATCCTGGTTCATCTCTCCAATTTTCTCTGGATGTGTCTCACTTCTTCTATATCTGTTTGTGGATCATGTTATTCTTAGAACGGTATATTTAGACATCCGGATACAGTAATCCTTCTCATTATTTCAGTCCAACCCAGTTCGTAACGGACTCATGTGGCTCCCGATTTTCTATTTCGTGTGTCTCGCATTCAATATGTTCATGATTTCTTATCAAGGCTCCAAAGTGCTCGACCTCTCTACAGTACCCCTTTGGATTGCAATTCTTACCAGTCTAGGCGCTGGAATCCTCGCAGCTGTTGTTTGTCATTTCTTAGTGGTCCCGAGGATTCGGAAATTCATTGCTAGTGAGTTTGAAGCTATTGATATTGGATTCTGAAACTAAGAATTTCTAGAAGGAAAAGAAACAGAGACTCGCGATTCCAACGCAAGCTCGATTGTGATTTCAATGTCAGAAGATCCGGAAATGAGTAAAACTGCAATCCAAAGCGGATTTACAGTCTCTATATGCACCAGTGAGACAGAAACTGAGCAATCTCCAGCAGAACCACCAGGAAGTAATACAGCGTTTATTAGCTACAGTAATCATTAAATGTTTTTTTTTCCAGAAGTCAAAGAGTTCTTCACTTGGCTCTTGCCTGACAAAAAACGAACAGAAAGTCCGGACACTTTGAGAATGTTCACTTCAGTCCAAACTCTGACTGCCTGTTTTGCCGGTTTTGCTCACGGAGCCAACGACGTCTGGTGAGTATACTTGCTCCGGAAAAGAGCACTGATGACCGTTCTTGAGACCAATTCTTATCTATATAATTCTCCTATACTTTTTTCTCACTTTTCGTAATTTATTTCGCTTCTTCTTATCAGTTATCAAACCCATTGATCACGAGCCGAATTTGATTTTGTTTCTAATTTCTCGGTAAACGTTTTTGGAAGAGAAAGACGTAGAAAGATTAAGAGTACATTGGGTTCATTGAGAGATTACGGTAGCCGATTTTTTTCAGCAACGCCATCGCTCCTCTCGTTGCTCTCATTGCGGTGTATCGAGATTTCGACGTCTACCAAAAGAGGGAGACTCCAATCTATGTACTTCTTTACGGAGTGTTGGCTATCTGTGTCGGGCTCTGGTGCCTTGGACACAAGGTAAACGAACCTTTGAAATAATTTAAAACCCATCAATCAAAAACGTTTTTACGAATTTAAAAAAATTGGAAAATATTATGTAGTTATCAGTGAAGCTAACTTTCACTAATCCGATTAACTCTTTGGCCGTTTGAGATCAGAAGAATATCAGTTAATGACCGTTGACTTTTTCGTAATTTTCTTTTTGCAGGTAATTCGGACAGTGGGTTCAAAAATGAGTGAAGTCAACCCGGCATCCGGCTTCTGTATCGAGTTCGGAGCAGCAGTTACTGCTCTCCTCGCCTCAAAACTCGGGCTTCCCATATCTACAACTCATTGTCTTGTTGGTGCAGTGGTTGCTGTTGGAAGTGTAAAAGCAGGAAGATCTATCGACTGGGGACTCTTCCGAAATGTTGCCTTCTCATGGATAGTCACCCTACCAGTCGCCGGAGGATTCGCTGCTCTCTACATGTGGCTCCTCCACTTCACAATCCCATCCCGCTATGCATAATTCTCAATTTCGATCTCTCTTATACTTGATTTATTTATGTACTGTGTAGTCTTTTAATTTTTTTAATACACACCCGTGAGTCTTAATCCACAATTTGAAAACAAAAATCAAAGTGTTAATAATAATGAAGCATCCGTGTTTTAACAATATCCGTTTTAATATCCCTCGTTTCAAATATCCTTTGCATATTCAGAGTTCCAGTCTCGATCGAAAGCTGATTGTAGCCTGTAACAGGACAATTACGAAATTTTGGTTAACGATAAGAATACAAACCTTTTCGTGGCAGCATCTTGTCGCACGACCATCCCAACTCCAGCTGTGCTGATGAAATAGTCTCCTGACCAATTTGATGTGCCTGCAATAGTTCATTTTGCACGTTTAGTTCCTGGTGTTTGGAAAATGTTCACTATTTCCATGACAACTTTTAGATCACTTGGAAGCAGTGTGTCTTTTCGAAAAAAATATTCTCGAGGAATTTTTCAGATTTTCTAAGCCACCAAATTAAATGAAATAGAATTGGTCTGAAATTCACCTGGTGTATTTTATTGGTCATTTCGACATGGTGGCCTAACTTTTGCAAGTTGAGTTTTCCAGGCCACTTAATTAAATAATTTAGAATTGGTCTGATATTCACCTGGTGTATTTTCTGAGTCACTTCGATATGGTGGCCAAACTTCTTAAAGTTGGGTTTTCTAGGCCACCAAAATGACCTAGAA